AACACCATTTTAAGTAAATGGAAAACTCACAGCGAAACTCCAACACACAGGGGAATATGTCTTCCCTGTTCCCTTCCTGGGCACCAAACAGAACCTCATGATAAATGTACGTTCTTTGAAGTTACATTTATCTTCTTACTCATTGATGCTGCAAGCATTTATGCACCTGGAAGGTATACAACAGGACAGGGGACACAGAGATGAACAAGATACCACCCTGTTCCCCAGGAGCACGTATCAGAGCTGGGGAAACAGACATCGACAAATCATCATGAGACAACGTGGAAAGCCCTTACAATAGAGCCGTGTTCCAGTACAATGGGGGCATAGTGAAGGGAGGGAGGAGTTAGTTCTGAAAGGGCGAGGTGGGTAGGGTGGGGGTTGTAGACAAGGATACACAAAAGAGTTAGTGTTGAGGCCAAACTTGACAGCAGAAGAGTGAAGGGGGGTCATTCTCAGCAGAAGGGCCTGCCTGTGCAAGTCAGGAAGGTGCAAGCCCGTCTTGGAATCAGTAAGTTCCCCCCAACCCCACACCCCCAAGTATGGCTAGAGTGTGGGATGGGGGTGGGGGGTAGAGCGAGAAAGAAAGGGTGGATTCAGATGGTGGTCCACACCAAAGTGTCCGGATTTTGCTTGCTAAGCCATTGAAGTGTCATTAGGGGTTTTTTAACATGCTAGTAATATGATCGGCTCTGTATTCTAGGAATTAAACATGTAGTGATCAATGTGGAAGATAGATGACAGCAGGGAGTTAGGCAAAGACACTAAAAAGAAATCATTAGAATAGACCAGACCAAGAGATTCAGGGGCCTGACCTCACCGCTGATGGCTGTTATAACTCAAGCTGGTGGGGCCCTGTGTGAGGCACTCAACCTCTCTGAGCGACAGCTCTGCCCTCTCTATGAGTGACTGGATTAGGTGATTTCCAAAGTCACTTCCTGCCCTCACATGCTCTTCACTCTTTGCCCTTCACTCTTAGAGAGCAGTCACATGGGTTCCTTCCAAGTTGTCAACAGAAATATTTCTTCCTTCTAGCTTACTCTTGATTTTTTGCTGTATTTATGCCAGTGCCCAGTCGCAGCTGGAAAATCATTAGAATGGCATCCGGTGCCATTTCCCTGACTCCTGCCTGCACGAGCATCGGGAAGGAAGAGTGCTTGGTCGAGGAGTAAGCAGGTGGCAAGGATGACAGGCGGGGATGCCCGCCAGAGTGCTGGCAAGTGCAGGAGGTGGAGCCGGAGCCCCAGAGTTCTAGCCAATTTTAGGAGGGTCTCTATGGGAATACTAGGGCTGCTGCATAAATCAATTACATAGCCCAGTTTAAATATCATTTTTGCATCGGATAGTAATCAATGAGGAAGGGAATTGTTTCCGTATTCACTGGACAATTTGTGTTTCCCTGAAGAGTTTTGAGGGAAACCTACTAAATGACATGAATAAAGTAACAACTATCTGCATTATTTAAGCTGCATTAAGACAGCCTGCTGTCCTTGAGTGTTTAACAAAACAGAGAGAAATAGATTACTCCCTGCTCGAAACACCGCAGAGGCTTCATGTCACACTCAGGAAAAAATCCAAGCTCCCTACCACCTACCTCTCTGAGTTCATCCTCTCCATCCAGCCCTGTCTACACCACGCTAAGCACACCGGACAGCTTGCTGCTCTCAGACACACTAAGCTCATGCCTACTGCGGGCCCTTTCCCTGGGTCACTTCTGTCCCGAATGCTCATCCCTCAGATCTCTGAGTGGCTGGATCCCTCAAATTATTCAGATTTCTGCTTAAATATCATCTCCTCAGAGGAGCTTCCCTGACCACTTTATCTAAAATAATACACATCCTGTCCCACCCGAGTCTGTTTTCCTCCAGCCAATTTCCCTGCCTAATTTTTCTTCATAGCATGTATCACTGCAAATCATATTATACATTCATTTAATTATTTTCCTCAACTCTCACTAGACAGTAAGCTCCATGAAGATGGGAACTTTGTCTGGGCTATTGCTGTATCCTCCCCTCCTAGAAAGGTACCTGGCACATGCTAGGTGCTCTAGTGATAATACTTCAGTGACAAAGCTGCCCTATGAAAGAATGGCACACGGAGGAGGGGGTTCCTCTAACTTTTTCTCAATGCCTACCACACTTATCAACAGTAGTCTAGTAGTAATACTAGCTATAATTAATACAATAATTAAATAATAATCTACAGTAGAATATAACACTAATGTCATATAAAATATTAACAAAATAATATATCATAAATTTGATATTAATATTAAAATAATAACTAATAGCAGTAATAAGAATAAGCAACCATTTACAGTCTTATAATGTAACAAGTACTACTAAATTCTATCCACATTATCCTATTTAATCCTCATTATGAGGCTAGCAGGTATTATTATTTTCTCTGTTTCATAGTGAAGGACATCAAAATTAAGAAGTTCAACTGGCCAGGCACAGTGGCGCATGTCTGGAATTCCAGCACTTTGGGAGTCTGAGGCGGGTGGACCACCTGAGGTCAGGAGTTTGAGACCATCCTGGCCAACCTGGTGAAACCCAGTCTCTACTAAAAGTACAAAAAATTAGCCAGGCGTGGTGGCGGACACATGTAATCCCAGCTACTTGGGAGACTGAGGCAGGAGAATTGCTTGAACCCGAGACGCGGAGGTTGCAGTGAGCCGATACTGCACCACTGCACTCCAGCCTAGGCAACAAGAACGAAACTTTGTCTCAAAAAAAAAAAAAAAATTAAAAATGTTTTGAGGTTCCAGCACAGGTTTACCTGATTCCAACACCCTTGTGCTTTCCTTTATGCAACTCATTATATACTGACCCAAACCTTCTTGAAATGAACGTCGGGACATGTGTCTTAATTACCTTACAGGACAGAAACAGGAAAGCAGGAGGGCCACTTGTTGGGAACCAAGCCTTCTAGCTAGAGAATGAAATTACAAAAACCGGCAGCACAGACTTTTGGAAACTGTTTGAAAACATTAAAATAGAATAGGACAGCACTCATTTACTCAACGATACTCATCAAACAAAACAGAAAGAGGATTCAGCTTGACCACTTAGGAAGCCAAAGGAATGTTATCTAGATCTCTTGGAGGCCACCAGACTCATCTTACAGATGGGAAGGGCTTTGAATCATTGTCCTCCTTTATCCAGGCAGACACCAAAAACGATTTCCTGCAAACTAACGACTCTCCAGTCAGTCTGCAGGATTCTTAGGGAGATCTTTACAATGCAATATGCTGCATGCTTAATATGTGTTCAGAAAGGCCTTGCACAATTGCTCAGGCTTATTTTTGCTCTAAGGACAAAAGAGGAAAAGTAAGGCCTAAGACAGGTTGGAACAGGTATGTCAACCTCATTAGGATGGCCTGGGGGGTCACGTCCCTGGAATCGGTGCCACTTTGAACTGCAAACGAACCTGCCAACCCTGCATCTGGAAACCACTTTTGTAGGACAGCTGCTCTCTCATTCCTTTTGCTTAGATCATAAAAGTAGAGTTTTCATCCATTGGGAATTTGTGTGTTACAGGCAAAGGGAATCAGATTCTGATCCAACTTGGTCAGGAAAAAAAAATAATAATAATAAGGGCTGATTTTTCCATCCAAGTCATGTAGTCTGGTTGGAGTGCATCCCACTCGGGGACAGCTATTGTCTGGATTCACCAAGTCTCAGTCTTGCACAGGAAAAAGGAATTTTTTGCCTCACTGCTCTATCCTTGAGAAGAGTTGCAGAAGGTGACCATTTCTGTTTTCTGGGTGATTCTCTTTCTCTATAGAAATCCTACAGTGGAACCTTTATAGAAATTATGTTCTGTGCTTCACTGGACAGAGACTGGTCTTTTAAACCAGGCTCATCAAACAGTGGGCATTTTCGTTTCCCTGAATAATAAGTGTTGGTGGGTTAATGGGTCATCCTCAGGACAGAGGTCAGAAGGAAAAACACTGCAGTGTTCAAAGCTGGAGCTAGAAATGCCAGCCGTCAAAAAACACAGAACTCAGTGGACGGTGATGATGTATAGGGCGTGCACTGGCCAACCCCATCTGAGAGGTCACATCTAACCTTTATACTCAGCAAAGCCACTGAAGGTCGCTCAATATGTGTGACCTGCAACTCTGAGGCCCTGGTGAGAAGCTGTCCAGGAAAACGCTGGTGCGTGTGCTAGAGGGTTCCTTTTCACTAAGAGAGAATTGTCTTCCAACTCCTTGTAGACTGACATCGCGAAGTACTTTGAACGTTGAAAAGAACAAAAAAAGCAAACAGTCACACACACACAAAAAGGAGGCGGGAGGAGGGGGAAAGAAAAAGGGACAGAGAGAGAGAGAGAGAGAGAGAGAGGTATCAGCAGGGGTGGTTAGTAAAAAGGGGCCCGGAGACAGAGAGAGAGAGAGAGCAGGAGTTCGTTTCATGTAGAGATTGTGAGGTGAATGGCTTTGAAACGAAATGGGTTTATGAAGGAGTTGCTAGATCACAGGAAGCGCGACTGTCAGACTGCTTTTGTGAATTCAGTTTCTTTAAAATTTGGGTTAATCTTAAAAAGAATGTATCTCCTTTTCCTGTTCTTTCTCTTTCTTTCTGTCTTCTCTTTTGGCGGGGGCGGGGGGACAGAGTAAGGTTCAAGACGGCTTCCCACTTTCTGTTTTATTTTCCACCCTCTGATAAAGCAAAAAGAAGAGATCACATTACAAGTTCTTTGTCAGTTTTTCAGAATTAGGGGTGGGCAGGGCCTGAGCATTACCTTGTCCCACTAGCCAATGGCGGGGCGGCATGCAAATGAGGTCCGCGATCAGCCTGCCTCAGTCACAACAGTGAGCTCAGAGACTTTGGGGAGGCGCTGCGACTGACAAGCGGCGCTGCCCGGGACCTTCTCGATTTCCTCTAGCGCTGCACTCAATGGAGGGGCGGGCACCGCAGTGCTTAATGCTGTCTAACTAGTGCAGGAAAACGGCTCAACTCAACGCCGCCGAAATGAAGTATAAGGTAAGAGAGTGCCTTTTACAGGTTTCCTTGCAAGCTGAAGGCTGTGCCTGCGGGTGTGTGCGTGTGTGTGCGTGTTCCCTACTGTGACAGTCCCTTGTGCGTCCGGAGAGTTCTAAGATGGGTCTGGGTCACTGAGGTTGGCATGTAAGCAGGCAAGCAAAGACCCACTCCAGGGGTTCACAGTACTCCCGAGTCCAGCTGCTCTGAAAGTTGCCGGGGAAATACCTCGGTGAGAAGTTAAGACTTGGAGCCGCTTCACAGCAGCCACTGGAGACCAGAGGGTGTCTGACTTGAATCGCGGCAGGCATTGGCTCAAGTCTCCTCGGCTTCCCCAGGCCTGGCTTCCACTGCCCTGGGGAGCAGTAATAAGGGAGGAATGAGGACTGCATAGTCTCTCTCAGACTGGCTCTTAGTGCAAAGTTTTCCAGCCTTTCCTTTAATCCTTTGGTCTTGGAAGGAGCATGCCATATGCACTTTTGGTGGGAGAAATTAAAAGCCCAGATTACACAGCTGAGGATGGAAAGGGTTGACATCCTTATGTGATATTGGATGTAGGAATAAATAAGTATGAGCCATTTCTTGAAAACATTTTTATTGGAGTTTGAATGGGGTAAGAGTGTGACGGCTCAGGCTGGCTCACTGTGCCTGAAAGCTTACCGAGTGTCATAGTCATAGTACTTCAGCAGCGTTATTTTCCAGTACATTTTACACCATTGTTTGTGTATTTTTCTTGCCAAAAGGATTTTTGACTTGCTCCATATATTCCCCCCTCCCTTTTTTTTTAAGTCACTCCCATCTAAGGAGGCAAGCAGCTTCCAGGGGACACAAAGAAAGCTGACTGCAATGAATTGGGCATGGATTCTTCTTGAATGATGAATAGATATGAGTGCTAGTGCTACTATTTTATTTTATGCTATTTTAAACAAAAGTGTTATTATTAAGATGGATTCGGGCAAGGGTGCTAGGGTTTTGGATTGACAATTTATATTAACTGTACACTAGCTGGAAGCTACTTCCCTTTTTTTCTAAATTTTTCTGGTCCATCCTTTTTTGATGTAAGGTTGTAAATACTTGGTCTAGCTGATAGCCACTGACTAGCCTTAATAATAAAGCTTTTGTTCAAAAACTGTGAATCTTATTCAAAAGCTTTAAATCTAAATGTCGAGAGTCTTTATTGTAATGCCTACATTACCACTGTCTGAAGACACAGGTATCAGCTATTTCTGTTTTATCAGCTATTATCTTCTTCAGTAGGGAAGATCAGAGGAAAGGGTCATCCTGAAGACTATTAATATTGACTTTAGGATGCAACCAGAAACAAATCCCTCTATCTGGCAGGAAAGTTATCTTTCTTAAAGTGGGTCACCCCATATTTCCTTATTTAGAACAATGATAGGACCAGATATTACTCAGCCTGGAGTGACTTTTTTGCTCCTCCTTTCCTTGTTGTTGAATAAGAACTGGCTTGCAGAATAAAAGAGAAAGTATGTTCATGTGTCTATTATTGGAAAGTATAAATGGCTGAAATTAACATTGAGTGCCGTAATCTAGAAAGTGACGAAAGTGACAAAGTCTCAAGTCACTTTTGTTCAATGATCTCATCGTGTTTAGCTTTACTCTTTATGGAAAGAAAATCTAAAGGCAACCGATAAAGTGACTGACAATGTAAACTGCAATTGGCATTCATGGAGAAACCTGCTTCTCCACTGGGCCTTACTGGTGCTGAACACTATGCCAAATGATGTAAACACACGATTTTTATTAGCCTGTGGGCAACTTCACCAGCAAAGAAGCTAACTTCTCTGATCGGACAAATGACTTACGCCCTATGATGACTACTAAATCAACCAACAACTGAAGAAATCCACTTTCCTTTTTTATAAAGTTTTCTTTCTCTCTCTTTAATAATGAACAGCTTTACTTCAGGAAAGGATTTTGTTATTGTAAGTAGAGGAGAGACACAAAGGTAATGACGTAACATTAATTGAGACTTACTGTGACAATACAAGATTGTCATATTCAACTCTCCCAATAGCTCTATAAGGTGGATATTATTTTTATACTCAATTTCAAATGACACAGAGAGGCTAAGTAATTTATCTAATGCCACACAGCTAGAAAGTGGTGAGCTGGGATTAGAACTAAGGCGATCTGGCTCCAGAACTCATGACTTGAACCACTATTAAGAGAAAGAACCATCGTTGACCTCTCTAAAATATGGCTAGTGTTTTCTTTTCCCAGAAAGTTTAAGACTATTTCATCCCAAGTATTCCTGCAGGATAATTTCTTTTTAAGAGAGTAGCTCTACAAAGTAAAATGAAATGCACGCTTGGCAGGTATTTGTTTAACTTGAGCCACTTAGGTAGTAAAACCAGATAATTATTAGATTGTAAAATCCCGGAGACAAGAATTATCTTTAAAATACTATGTTGCTCTATGCACTGTAAATTTAGCACAGATCTTAAAATGTTCACTGAAAGACTTATGAAACAGGCCCTATAAGATTTTTTGTCGTTGTTAACCTGATTATCTGGTTTGGCTGCCCCAGGGATCACAACTTCAGAACAACAAACCTTCACTTATTTTGCACTTAACATACACAGCTTCAGGCCAGGCAGCAGCATACTTGCAACAATCCTGACAACTGTGGAACGTAAGCTATTACTCCGGACAGACATTTCTGGTTAGTACATATCTAGTCTGTCTTTATTTCCCTATATGTTTTTTATTTGTCCACAGGAAGGTTGCAGTCACTGTCATATGTACTTAATTTTCCATTTCTCTTAGAAGGGATTCAGCCTGTGGTTATGTGATAGTAAATTATGGGGGCTTCATTTATTAAGAGTTTTCTACAAAATCCCCTTCACATACAGAGCATGTTCTTAATTGGGCGGGGGCTGGGGGGTTAGGGGATTGCCTCGATGGCCTTGGTTTGCTTACCCAGTGAAGGCTGCTCCTTAGGGTCTGGAGGTGGATGGTTGTGCTGTTTGCCGGGAGGGTGATGGAAGGGTCTCTGAGCAGCTGTGTTTGAGCAGAAGCCCCGAGAACCCGCCCCGTTTGTGCCTGCCAGGCCCGAGGCCCCGCCCACCTCAGGCCCAGCCCTGGCCGGGGCTCAGCAGCCACTTGGCCTGGCCGCTAATGGCTGAGCAGAGATGCTTCTGTGGCTTTGCCAAATTTCTGAGCCCTTACGTGCCTACATTAAAATTCTAAATTATTTATCTCGTCTACCATACAACAAATTCATTCTTTAACGTTTTGACTGAAGAAAAATTACAGACGGAGCTTACAATGCCATTAAGAAAGCTGCATTCTGAAAGTCAGAGCCCTGCGTTCTGGTTGAATGGAGTAGGTCAGGGAAAGGAGAACGTGTGTGCTGAGAAACCGTGTGCTTTGGAAGGGACTTTGAAAGTATTCGTATTTTCTCAAGCAAGACTGAGGAAAATAATGACAGACAGTCTTTGATTTAGTCAATATGGTCATGTATAACCTATAAAATTCCCAATTATTTCCTTGCTTTGATATTTTGGTTTAAAATGCTTTATTTTTCTCTATATGATTTTTGCAACCAATCCAAATGTAGGACTCCTGCCCTTTTCCTTTTTAAACCTTGTATGAGATCGATGGATTTAAAAGCACTAAAACTTGCTTTGAAAAATATCAACTTGGTTATTTATGTATTTATGCATTTATTTATTTATTTGTTTATTTATTTAGCAAAACCATTTGCAGAGCTAAATGGCTTAACTGCACAGAGATAAAAGCCTTTGGAGAACTGAAGGTGCCTGATAATACCAAATTTAGCAAGTTGCACAGTGCGTAACATACCAAGGATTCCTTTAGCATCCTTTCCTTGCTGGGATACACGTCAGTCCTGTTCTCAGAATTCAGTGACTCCCTGTCTCTCCCTTCACTCCAGTCTTCTGAAAAAAACACCTTCCTCTCCACTTTTCTTTTTTTCTGTTTTTGATGTTGAGTCTCACTCTGAAAAAAAGGCTGGAGTGCAGTGGCACCATCTCAGCTCACTGCAGCCTCTGCCTCCTGGGTTCAAGCGATTCCTCTGCCTCGGCCTCCTGAGTAGCTGGGTTTACAAGTGCCCGCCACCATGCCCGGATAATTTTTGTATTTTCAGTAGAGACGGGTTTCACTGTGTTGGCCAGGCTGGTCTTGAATTCTTGACCTCAGGTGATCCACCTGCCTCAGCCTCCCAAAGTGCTGGGATTACAGGTGTGAGCTACCACACCCGGCCTTTTTGCAAATTTCCTCCCTCTTTCGTGCTTTTATAACCTCACCGGTTCTTCTTCTTCTTCTTCTTCTTCTTTTTTCTGCTTCTTCTTTTCAGGCTTTCTTTATGCTTCTTTAATACTGACTTCGGTAGGTCTTACTTCCAACCCGTACTCCCCAGGCCCCTCACCGCCACCTGTGTATTGCTGCCCCCTCGCCCCCGACACATGGATGTGACCTCTTTAATGCACATCCTGTAGCCCTCATTTTTCCTTCTCCTTCGACTCTGCTATGGGAAATCCTGGTCCGCTGCCCGCATTCATCTACCTGTCTCTTTGTGCTTGCATGACTTGAGAGGCCCGTCAGTCCCGCTAGTAAAGTCTCCTCATCCAGCCACTCTGTTTAAACAATCAGACTCTGAAACCTTTGTCTCCTGGACTGCCCTATAATCCCTAAAATAGGCTGTTATGTTTTTCCTCTGCCCTACTCTGTTAGCACTACCTTACTTATTAACCTCTTTCAATCAAATCATTATCTAAAGGATACATGTAACTCAGATAGGTTGCCTACTGGGCCTGTTTAGTTTTAAGTAAACCCCACTGAATATGAGAGACCCACCCTTTATTTGTACGTAGAGGCAGATTGATCGAAAAGTCCTTGAATAAAAAGCATGATCTAGGGTCTGTGAGGTTTTGAGGGGGCTGAGACTTGGTCTTTTATGCTCTCGTATTAGAGACATGATAGCGCATGGGCTTTGGAGAAAGGCATTTCTGTTCCTTATGGCTTATAGCTCTGTGACCTTAGGCAAGTTAAGCTCTCTAAGCCTCATTTTACAGCATTATCTGTAAAATAGGGATAAGAATAACTGCCTCATACTATTGTTCCAAGACCTGAGATAATATATGAATGAAGTACTTACTATGGCTCTTGGCATATAGTAAGCAGACAATGCTAGCTGGCTCCAGTTCTCTTTGTATAGTAGATGCTCAATACATGTTGAAAGATGGTGTGTACTCAAGACTTGGTGACAGAATTATGTCAAAATCCCAGTTGCTAGGTTGAGATTGCTGAGTATTGTTGAGTATTACCTGGGCCTGGATGTGTATTGTAAGCATACGACCCTAACAGCATATAGCCCCGCTTGCTAAAATTCTTTTGCCTTGGTTCCTTCATTATTGTTCATTGGACTCAATATTCCTGAAATTATAAGCCTTTGCTCACAGGAGATAAAATGTATACACGAATAGCCATTTAAGAAGATCTTAACACTATATGGCAAAGTAAAAAAAAAAAAAAAAATTGGACTTTGTTTCAAATCCCACTTTTGTTACTTTCTAACAGTATAATTTTATGCAAGCTACTTTAAACCCCCTTTTCCTCATTTATAAAATGGGAATAATACCTGTCTTATCAGATAGTTATAGGATATATGACAATTGTCCTTTCCAGCAGATAGTAGGCATTTAATAAATGGCAGCTATTATAGGATGTTATATACACATACACACAAAGATATACAGATATATAAATATGGAAGTTTTATATAGATAAAAGTTTAAGAGGAAACATTCACTAGAATTGTTTACCCATAACACAAATATCAGTGAGGAAAAGAGAAAGGCATCAATTTGAAAAACCAAAGGTAAAATCCAAAGAATGTAAGTTGGGAGTACATGAGAAGTTCAGGGTAAAATCTCTTATCCAACCGCAGTCAATTAGAATGACATAAATGTAAAGTAAGAGGTCTTGGTTGTCTATGTTTAGATCATTTTAGGGTCAGAAAGAAATCGAAACAAATTGGTGTGAAATGCCAACCACTAGGACCAAGGCAATACTCTGCAGGAACATATAGGCTGAATTACCAGGACTTCTCACCAAGACAAATAAAACAGCGCCATTGGGAAGAAATACTATATTTCTAACTTAAAATGCCAGAGAGTAACTGACGGTTTCCTAGGTGATAGATGATTGCAAAGAGTACGGGCATGAAAAGGGGACACACACACACAAAAAAAACCCTGTTTATACTTTGCCAACAACACCCCCTCCATCTTATTTACTTTGAACATTCCAGCCATCTCTCTGCAGTAATTCCTGCTGGCTAATGAGGACTCCACACAGCTAGGGAACATGACAGCCTGCAAAGGCCTATTTTCCAGAACAGTCTGCATTTTAAGATAAGTGACCTTGTTGGTGACCTTTTCTACCCTTCGCTGGAAAAGGTGACTCTCTTAGAAGACAGTTTGACTAAACAATGAGATCTAGGTGAATGTGCGGAAGATAGAACAGGCACTCCAGAAATATGGATAGTGGTGGTGTTGAGAGCAGTTTTTCATGGTTGAGGTAGGGAGTGGAGGCAGCTCTCATGGAGATGTTAAAGTTGCCAGTGTCCAATACATATGCCTGGGCCCCACAATGGACTACCAAATCCCAGTTATTCTTCAAAAAAACAAACAAAAAAAACCAGCTAGTATCTTTCTCCCTAATCCCCTCCCTAACCACTACTGGTGCTTAAATGGTGTCTAAGTAGGTAGTTCATGATCCTCAGTCAAAGCCTGGGTCCAGTGATTTGCAAGTGTCATGATTGTTGGCAAATCTCAGTCTTGTGAATTAGAATTCCCCTGATATGTCTCACATGTCAAGGTAATAGTTATATGATGTTGCCAAAAACGTCCGTCATGTGAAATGTTCTGTTTACGCCCACCGGAAACAAAGATTGAGCAACCATGAATATGTAAAAGTGAAACCATTTCAAGCAACAAAAATATGTGATAGCTATTTTGAAATTAATTTTAATTCCTTTTTTTAATGTGCGTGGGTGGTTGACGTGGGGGCAGTGGATGGATTAATTATCTGTGAAATTTTTTTGAAAGTTGCAGTAATAAGGCGGGGCTCGGTGGCTCAAGCCTGTAATCCCAGCACTTTGGGAGGCCGAGACGGGCGGATCACGAGGTCAGGAGATCGAGACCATCCTGGCTAACACGGTGAAACCCCGTCTCCACTAAAAAATACAAAAAACTAGCCGGGCGAAGTGGCGGGCGCCTGTAGTCCCAGCTACTCGGGAGGCTGAGGCAGGAGAATGGCGTGAACCTGGGAAGCGGAGCTTGCAGTGAGCTGAGATCCGGCCACGGCACTCCAGCCTGGGCGACAGAGCAAGGCTCCGTCTCAAAAAAAAAAAAAAGAAAGTTGCAGTAACCAAAACACAAGTAAAGTTCAGATTTGAACCAGAAAAAAAAAAAAAATATTCAGGCATTATGCATTTAGATAACATGATGTGTCATTAATGTTTTTCCTCGTATTTTTTGGTTAGGCAGAAACCTTGTGCTATCACTTGGTAACTGTGAGTTAGCCTTAATCTCAATGATTCATAATAGTCCATTTGTTTTCCTTAGTTGAATGCCTTACTCCCACAGGAGATGAGGCTAACTGAGGACTCAGCTAGAGGACTCTTTAAGAATGAGC